TTTTGTTTGAGAGGCCTCAACAAGTTCAGGTTGAGGAGCAGAAGATAACTTGTGCAGCACACAACTGTAAAGAAAAGCAGCAACAGAAGAAGGCTAAGGAAGCCTCACATCTAGTGGTATCTGAATCTGCCGGAGAAGTAAGATTTATAAAGCCTTTGGAGCAATCTTCAAGGGTGGAATTGTTGTCTGAAGAAATGGAAAATGGGAAATTTCAGCTTGAGGGGTTTCAACAAAATGAGACGGGAGATTCAGGAATTTTGGAGCAAGAAGATCTCAAAGCATTAGAGATTGATCCTAAGGAAGAACTCAAAGCATTTATTTTGAGTTTTATAAGGATAAGGACGGAGAATGAAAATTAGAGATCGATAAGGATTGACAATGAAAATGGACAAATGAGACTGATAATAATACTATTAGTATGATAAGGATGGAGAATGAAAATGGATAATTGAGACTGATAAGGACTGTGGTTTTTTTGGATGGGATTTGTTTTTGGTGAAGATTTAAATGTTTAATGTGTTTATTTTCGATGGAATTTGTTATTGATAAAGATTTAAATGTGCATAAGGGAATTTTAATGTTTTAGGTTTTAAGTAATGTTTAAATTTGCGTTTTGAAGGGAGTTTATAAAGAATGATAATAATATTAATAATTATTATTATTACTATTTTTAAGATGGAATCTGACTAAATGTGTAAAAGGGGATTTGAATGTTTTAAGTTTTAAGTTTTAAGTAATGTTTAAATTTGTGTTTTGGAGGGAGTACAATTTGTTTATGTTAATGTTTTAAGCTTTAATTTGTTCATTCTAATGTTGTAAGTTTTAAGTAATGTTTAAATTTGTGTTTTGGAGGGAGTATAATTTTTTTTAATTAAATGTATTTAGATTTGTTTAGGATTTATATTAGATTTTATATTATAGGTATAGATGTTCAAGGAAAGTAGTGTTTAAAGTTTAGAGTATATTATAATGATTTTAATTATTATTTTTTTAGAGAAGATAATTTACTCAATTTAAGGTATGTAGATTTGTTTAGGATTCATATGTGTTCTGAGTTTCTTTTTTTCTTCTTCTTCTTCTTCTTTTTGAAATATTTAGGACAAGCCTGTAATCAACTCTGGGAGGACTAGGGGAGGGTTAGGGAGGTTTGGGGAGAGGGGGGAGGGTATGGGAGGCTGGTTTTGGGGAGGGGATTTGTTTTGTAAAATTTAAAAATTTTTCAATAAAGATTTATACTGTAAAAAAAAAAAAAGAGATTTCAACTTTAGCCTTGCTTCAAAAACAGCCAATCGTCTTTTGTTGGGCATTATCACCAGCCAATTAGGTGCAGAGACCAGAGGGTGGTGGAAAAGAGGGCAGGGATATGTCCCTCCTATTTTTTCTTGCACCACACAAGCAATGGCTTTCTGGGAAGTGTAGTCAGAAGGCACAGTGGTGCTGAGGCAGCCACAACTTTCTCAAATTTCATATCCCATGGGAATAATGAACCCCACATTTTGGTTGCATTCTTTAAGTTATCCCATTTGAGGTGCGTCGATTCAAAAACTGTTGCCCTCTAATATATAACTTCCCCCAATTGAAGGTTACAAACAGACAAACACTGAGAGTGTAGGACTTTTTTTTTTATTGAAGATTTTTTAAATTTTACAAAACAAATCCCCACCAAACCCACCCTCCCACACCCTCCCCCATCCCCCCATACCTCCCTAACCCTCCCCTAGGCCTCCCAGAGTTGATTACAGGCTTGTCCTAAATATTTCAAAAAGGAAAAAAAAAGGCTTAAAACACATACGAATCCTAAACAAATCTAAATATCTAAAATTAAGTAAATTATCTTCTCTAAAAAATAATAATAATTAAAATCATTATAATATACTCTCAACTTTAAACACTACTTTCTTTGAACATCTATACCTATAATATAAAATCTAATATAAATCATAAACAAATCTAGATACATTTAGTTAAACAAATTATACTCCCTCCAAAACACAAATATAAACATTACTTAAAACTTAAAACATTAAAATGAACAAGTTAAAACTTAAAGCATTAACATAAACAAATTGTACTCCCTCCAATACACAAATTTAAACATTACTTAAAACTTAAAACATTAGAATCCCCTTATACACATTTAATCAGATTCCATATTATTACCATTCTTTATAAACTCCCTCCCAAACAAAAATTTAAGCATTACTTAAAGCTTAGAACATTAAAATTCCCTTATGCACATTTAAATCTTTAGCAATAACGAAGTCCATCGACAATAAACACATTAAACATTTAAATCTTCACCAATAACAAATCCCCTCCACAAAAAAACACAGTCCTTATCAGTCTCAATTGTCCATTTTCATTCTCCATCCTTATCATACTAATATTATTATTATCAGTCTCAATTGTCCATTTTCATTCACAATCGTTATCAATCTCTAGTTTTCATTCTCCGTACTTGTCGTTATCAAGCTCAAAAGAAATGCTTTAAGGTCTTCCTTAAAAGATTGCTCCAAAATTCCTGAATCTCCCAACGACTCCGAGGCCTGTGAGGATTCCTTAAACTCTTTATTCTGTTGGTCTTTACAGTTGTATGTTGCACAAGTTGTCCTCTGCCCCCTCTTAGCTTGTTGAAACCCCTCAAGCTGAAATTTCCCATTTTCCATTTCTTCAGACGACGATTCCACCCTTAAAGATTGCTCCAAAGGCTTTATAAATCTTGCTTCTCCCGCAGATTCAGATACCACTAAATATGAGGCTTCCTTAACCTTCTTCTGTTGCTGTTTTTCTTTACAGTTGTGTGCTACACAAGTTATCTTCTGCTCCTCAACCTGAGCTTGTTGAGGCCTCTCAAACAAGGGTTCCCCAATTTTCATAAATATAGGCTCTTCACACTGTAATTCTACATTCTTTTCTTCCAAAGCTTTAAACTTAGTAGATGGCGATGAACATACCCCCAGGACCGAAGTATAAAAATCTTTTGCTTGAACAACAGTATTGAGTCTATAACATATCCCCAGGTAGTTCACCACCATTCCAATCGGAGCATCCCATCTAAACGAAATTCGTCTCTTTTTAAGTTCATCTGCTAAGAAAACAAAGTCCTTTCTTCTTAAAATTTTGGGTGGGATCTCCTTTAAAATTATAACGTCTTGTGAAGCAATTGGAAATCTCTTCTTATAAAAAGCTTGTATAATTTCATTGCGTAGAGATCTTTTTCCAAAATAAATTACCACATCTCTTGGCAAGTTCTTTTGCACTGCCACCGCGGAGTTAACTCTAAATAATTTTTCAATTTCACTAAGTATTTCCTCTTTACTTTTATTCAAAATCACGGCAAAGTCCTTTGCAACCATCTCTTTCAGATCTCCTTGCAAGGACTCTCCCAAACCCCTTATTCTTAAGGCGTATTCCATTTGACCATATTGAAGCATAAGAATCTCATTTTCCATTTCTTTTTCCATACTTTCAATTTTCCCCTCCATTAATTCCACTTTTTCAGCTACTTCTTCCACACGGGAATTCAACTTTTCAAGAACAGAAGCAACTCCTTTTAAAGCCACAACTATATCTTGCCTCAAAGTCTTGTTATTTTCCTCTAAAAACTTTTTCATTTCAGCCCTAATTTGAATTATAGCATTTCCCATCATATCTTGCAAGTCCTTCACAATTGTAGGCTGGACCACTGTAGAGGTCCGTGACTTTGGAGCCATCTTAAAAGAAAAAAAACTTACTGCTTCTTAAAAGTTACAAAAATTCCTTCAAAAAAGAAAAAAAAATCATAACTCCCTGAAAAAGAAAAAAAAAAGAAAAAAGGGAGTTAAAAAAGAAGGAATTAAAATATCCATTCCAATCATTAAAAAGAAAAGGAAAAAGAAGGGGGAGAAGAAACACCAAAAAGCCTGCCTTTTAAAAGTACAAAAGAGAAAGCGAAAAAGTCAAGCAAAAACAATAATGCTTAAACACCCAGAAGCCAGACTATTAAAAATACAAAAAAACAAAACTAAAAGGTTATAATAATGCTTCTAAAATCCATCCAATCATTAAAAAAGCAAAAAAAGGGGGAGAAACCGATCGCCATTCTAACTCCCCCCCCAAAAAAAAAACTCCGGAAAGTCTGCCGATCGCCATTTTACTTTCCCTTTCGGCAAAAAATAAAAAGTAAAAGGAGAGAATATAAACATAAAAATAAGTCTTTAAACTTAAAATACATATAAAGTCAAAGAAAGCAAAAAATGAATCCTCTAATCAACTCTGTCCGCTTGTAAAAAAACTCACCGGATCACTTTAAGCGCGGAGGTGTTTGCAACGGCTTGTTTTGTCCCTAGGGACAAAAGCAGCTGGGAAGCGAAGACAGTCTGAACTCCGTGGGAGGACTCTGTCACCCCCCCAAAAAAAGAAAACGGGGGTACATAAGAGGCTCTACCACTATTCAGACCACCCTCTACCCCCCCCTTTGCCCGGGAGGGGGATTTTGAACCGCTGAACAGCTGGTGTCCGCTGTTCATAGCGGTTCATTACACTTACCCAGGAGGACGGCTAGAAAGTAGCCGCCATCGCCGCGCAAATCCACCGGAAGTCCGAGAGTGTAGGACTTTATAGGTTGATAACAACCACGTTATTTTCTTCCGCCATGGGGTTTTTATAAGCAGAAAGCAACTGACAATATTTAAATTAAAAATACAAATTTAAAACAAGAAATTTAAATCATACAATTACAGGTAGTCCTTGGCTTACAAATGTTTGCTTAGTCACCATTCGAAGTTACAACAGCATTGAAAAAAGTGACTTATGACCATTTTTACACTTATGACAGTTACAGCATCCCCATAGTCACATGATTTACACTTGAATGCTTGACAATTGACTCACATTTGTGACGGTTGCAGTGTCCCGGCGTCATGTGATCACCTTTTGCGATCTTCTGACAAGCAAAGTCAATGGAGAAACCAGATACACTTAACAAAGTGTAAAATGGGGCACAAAACTCACTTGACAAATTTCTCACTTAGCAACATAAACCTTGGGCTCAACTGTGGTCCTAGGTTGAGGACTACCTGTATATAACCCGATCTAGGTTTGCAAAAAAAAAATATTTTGTGTCTTCTTTCCATTTTTCTACTAATGTATGGATTAAGAACAATTCCCCTGGAAGATCATGTGCAACCTGGAAACTTCCAGAGTAGGCCTCATCCTGCCTGGGCCAGTTTTTAGCAGTAGAAGCATCTTTAAAGGGTCTTTCCTGCTGATACAAGTAATGGAGCAGATTCACAGAGTGGGGGTTGCTCCTTAAATAGAGAGCTACTAAGTTAGGCAACAGGAAAGGATACAGCCAATTAAAATAAGCAGAAGGGCTTTGTACAAAAAACCAGTTGCCCAGAGCAAGGCCAGGATGACAAAACCAATGGCCAAGTACTCACGGACATCCTTGTCAGTTAGCATTTCCTTAAGAGTGTAAGTATTTCTGGCCAAAGCACTTGGGGTCTCGGAGAAGAATTTTAATTTCTTGATACTTCGTTTTATCTCAGGGCAGTCCAGCAGCTGGTGCTCAGGATGTTTTGCATCTAGGAAGGGAAGCATGTGCTGTGTGATACTGTCAATCTGAGGCTTCAAGGAATCATAAATGAACACAAACTGGCTTGTCACCCGAACTGCATTTGCTTCAGAATGCAGGGTCCCCACCAGGTTAGAGCAGCGCCTAAGAGCCTCCTGCAGATTCAGAACATCCTTATGAAAGTTGACTAGCTGCTTTTTTCGCTCTTCCATCGCGTCAAGATTCTTCTGGGTCGTCTTAATTTTTTCCTCTTGCTCTTTCAACTGCTTCTCACAATTGGCAACTTGGTCCTGAGCCTTCTGTTCCTTGGCACAATAATCATCTACCATTTCCTGTGCCGCATCGGCTTTTTTCTCAGCCGTCCTCTGAGACAGGTGCGCGTCGATAATTTGAATACCCCCTGATAATGAGACAAAGACAAGATCAGTGGCTTACAGGATGTAACACATAGCCGGCAAGTTTTTCCAAGCAAGATTATTTCATATCCATTGAGGTGATTCCTTAGTCCAGGGGTAGGCAACCTTGGCTCTTTGATGACTGGTGGAGTTCAACTCCAGAATTCCTGAGCCAACATGGCTCAGCTTGGAAACCTCTCCCTTTTCCCTCAGCATGGCTGGCTCAGGAATTCTGGGAGTTGAAGTCCACCAGTCATAAAAGAGCCAAGGTTGCCTACCCCTGCCTTAGTCTTTAACTCTGGCAGCGGCTGACCTACCATGTCTCAGCTTGGGGGGGGGGTCTAGGACAATTCACCATGGACAACTCACCACGAACAACTCATTGCAGCCAACTTGCCGCGGACAACTTGCCTTGAGGCAACTTGAAATGGCTAACTCACCACAGGGCAACTCAGCCATGGGACAATTCAACACTGCATTAATCATTTCATTCAGATACTTTTATTATTGGTGTCTACATTTTCGTTGAAATTGTGATAATTCTTATATTTCTGGATTGACTTTCTTTATTTTATTATTATTGGCCACCGTTCCGCTGAAATTAATTTGACTTTTGTATTTGTTGAATTGTCCTGCCTCACATCCTGTGGTGAGTTAGCCGTGACGAGTTGTCCCTCAGAGAGTTAGTCACGGAGAATTGTCCCATTCCACAGCTTTGGAAACTGGGCAAAGTCGGCCTGTTCATATTTGAAAGAGTTGCAGGAATCTTCTATCTCTAGGCTAGCATGGGGAGTGTAGAAATCAGAAAGAGACAGTGGAAAACTAGAAACCCAGTTTCATGCAGTGGTTAAGGTGCGCTGGCCTAACAAACAGGAGACTGAAGTCTAGTTCTGATAAAACCCAAATGGGTGATTTTGAGTTACTCACTCTCTCTCAGGCCAAGCCAACTCACAGGGCTGTTGTTGTAGAGAAAATAGGGGGAGGAAGGAGTATTAGGTATGTTGGCCACCTTGAATTTTTTATAAAAATATCACAGGTGGGATAAAAAAAAATATATACTAAAAACAATCTAAATGTATGTCCAATGTTTTCTGTGAAGTCATAAGCAGTTGAACTCACCCTGAAGAAGGCTTATCTTTACACTAAAGCAATGCCAAAAGAGTGAATTTAGGATGCCCCCAAAGAGGTTTGAGAGACCCAGTAAAGTAGAGAGATGGGAGTTAAGCAAATGGTCATCTTCTGATTTGGAGCAGTTGATAGATAGTATTAGGTAGATCAGTGGTTCTCAACCTTTTTAATGCCACGACCCCCAAATGGTCGTAAGTCGAGGACTATTCAACTGGTCGTAAATCGAGGACTACTCAGCTGGTGCAGCACCATTTGCAGAATGGGACTTTTGGCTCAGCAGGGCAGAGACAGCCTGGACAATTCCTATTGGCTTTTGAAAGCCAATAGAATTAGACTCTATTCAAGAGTCTATTCTATTGGCTTTCAAAAGGCAATAGAATAAAAGGGAGTAGCACAGCTAAGGAAAAGGGGGGGGGGAAATGGCGGACTGCGTTTTTTGACGACCCCCGTGAAATGGTCGTTCGACCCACAGGTTGAGAACCACTGAGGTAGATGGATCAGACACATACAAAGTTTCACAAAGATTACATTTCTATGTGAATCCATAAGGCCTGAAGGGAGAGCTTCCCCAAAATTACCATGGCAATCAATTCAAACCCTACCCTATGAGCTGGGAGCAATCCTAGGCAATTATATGCAAACCTTCTCAGAAAGCAAGTCAAAGTGTGAAGGTTCATAGATCAACTTCCCCCAGGGAAAGATACATTTGTGTTAAATTTATTTAAACTTCTACAGTATTATGAATATGAAAAGTTTTGCCATTCGAAAATTTCTGCTTACTTGAAGGATCATTCACAAGAAAGATACGTTTCGGTCTGGAGAAGATGGATAGATTATATTCAGAATAAATATGGGACTAAAAAGTTCCATCTAGTTTATGAGTAAATTTTAGAGTATTATTATTATTAATAGTTTAATATAGTAGACTTTTTATTAGTTTTATTATTATTTTTAGTAACAATTTGGATATTGTATTGTTTAATAATATCAACTTGTTTATATCATTATGTTTATTTTTAATTTGTTTATACCTAAAAGGGGAGTTAAAGCGCATTATGGACTTGGTTATTTATATAGTTGGTTAATGTTAGTTAGAGTTTGATTATTATATTTGTAACACTGTACTCAGCTCTGGGAAGTGGGGGAGGGAGAGGGAGGGGGAGGGTTTAGGGTGGGTGGGTTTTGGGGTGTATACTGTAATTTTTATAAAACTTTTCAATAAAAAAAAAGAAAAGTTTTCCCATTGCTGCATAATCTCCAGTTTTGGTCTCCAAAATTCTATTCTTTATTCTGTGACCAAATATTTTGCAAACAAAACTGGACAAGAAATGGCAACACAGTTGGCTTATCTTGTCTTGTCTAGTTAGCTTGTCTAGCACAGGAAGTATATTTGAGTCATGAATTTTTATCCCACCCACTAAAATAATGGTAAAAAAAGTAAGTAAGCAAAAAACCCCAAATGCATAGGTACAGTATAGGGTACCTTGCTCAATAGTAGTAACTGTGGGAGGGATCTCCGGGTCCTAGTGGACAATCACTTAAATATGAGCCAGCAGTGTGCTGCAGCTGCCAAAAAAGCCAACAGAGTGCTAGGCTGTATTAATAGAGAGATAGAATCAAGATCACATGAAGTGTTAATACCACTTTACAATGCCTTGGTAAGGCCACACTTGGAATACTGCATCCAGTTTTGGTCACCATGATGTAAAAAAGATGTTGAGACTCTAGAAAGAGTACAGAGAAGAGCAACAAAGATGATCAGGGGACTGGAGGCTAAAACATATAACTAACGGCTGCTGGAATTGGGTATGTCTAGTTTAACGAAGAGAAGGACTAAGGGTGACGTGATAGCAGTGTTCCAATATCTCAGGGGCTGCCATAAAGAAGAGGGAGTCAAGCTATTCTCCAAAGCACCTGAAGGCAGGACAAGAAGCAACGGATGGAAACTAAGCAAGGAGAGAACCAGCATAGAATTAGGGAGAAATTTTTTTGACAGTTAGAACAATTAATCAGTGGAATAACCTGCCTCCAGAAGCTATGAAGACTCCAATACTGGAAGTTTTTAAGAAGAGATTGGACAACCATTTGTCTGAAATGGTATAGGATTTCCTGCCTGAGCAGGGGGTTGGACTAGAAGACCTCCAAGGTCTCTTCCAACTCTTTTATTCTAGTCTAAAATAGCCATTGTACTATACAACCTGCCCCATGGATTAGTGGCTATAACAGCATTTTCTTCTTCCTGAATATTGTAATTTAAACAACCAGCAACAACCTGAATTCTGAGCTGAAGGGACTAGGAATCCCTAGTCCCACCAACAAAATTACTTCAAATGCAATTGACCTATAGCAGGCATGTCAAACTGCCGGCCCATGGGCCGGATGCATCATGCCAAAACCGCGCCCACCCCATTGCTGGCAATGGGGAAAAAGTCATGATACATCGCGCAACGTCACATGACGTTGTATAGTATGTCGAAACCATGTATTTGATTTTGCAATTACCTATGAGAGCCAATCTTCATTGACCTGGAAGAAACCTAAGCAGGGTTGAGTCGTTACTATTAAAGCAAGCATGGTGTCAGTGTGTCTCATTGAGTCAACTCCACCGAAGCCTAAAAGAGATGCGGTTGCTTTAATGAGAGATCAGTTGCTTGTGCTCCTGAGCATCCCAAAGTATTTCTTCCAACTCATTTTTTTTGACATACCGAGGGTGTCATTAATACTCACCAATAATAGTTCCGACAACTGGTATCATCATCAACTGCCAGCCCTTATTTTTCCGCCTTTCTTGTTCTCTAATTTCTTCTTCTGCAGCAGCTCTATCCCTTTTTGCCTGTTCCTTCATAGCTCTTTGGCGTTGACAGTACTCTCTTTGCAGCTCACCCCACCTTTGCAAATCCTTCCAAAGGTTCTGTAAATTGACAAGCTTGTTCTCTTTTGTTTTCTGTTCATCCATGAGTTTTTTCTTTGAGACCATTATCTCTGAAGTCACTGAATCCACATTCTCCAGATCCCACAGAACCAATTCTTCTGTCTTGCCCAACTCCTCTGTAGCCTTCTCGATATGCTCCTTTAGATCTATGTAAAACTCAACGTCTTCTTTTGCTTGGTACAGACAGTTGACCACAGAGGTTAACTCACATATTCCTCGGTTGAAATGGTGTCTGACCTTTTCTTTAAATGTGTTGTCGTAGGCAGACCTTCGTACAAGGGCCATACTTTCCCTGAATCACAATGGGACCTGGTCTGCAGAGAAAGAACAAGGGAGATACCAAAGAGAAGGTGAGATCTGATTCAAGATACAACTAATGGTTTGCCTTAGGCTCCAAGAGGCAGAAGATAGGTAAAGATAAAGATTTCCCCTGTCCAGTCAATTCTGGCTCTAGGGGGGGTTGCTCATCCCCATTTCCTAGCCAAGGAAGCCAGCTTTGTCCGAAGATGCTTCCGTAGTCACGTGGCCAGCATGATTATATGCTGAGACATACAGAATGCTGTTTAGCTTTCCACTGAAGTGGTACCCATTTGTCTACTTGCATTTACATGCTTTCAAACTGCTAGATTGTCAGAGCTGGGACAAGAAGGGAGCTCACCCCATCACGCGTTACTTGGGTCTAGAACTGCCAATCTTCTGGTTGACAGCCCAGCCTCTTAATTGCTACGCCACCAGCTCCTAAACAGAAGATACCAACACTGAACTTTCTTGTGGCCTCTGGTGCTATCTGAGCATAAGTTAGGTATAGTGATTAAAAGCACCAGACTAGAAATCAGAAGACTTTAAGTTCTACTCCTGCCTTAGCTATAAAACCAACTGGGTCAGGGGTCCCCAACCTCTGGATGTTTTCAACCGGGATGCGGAAATGGTGGGGTGAGTGTACATGTGCACACGCATCCCCACTTGCGTGAGCAGCAAACAAGTGTATGCATGTGCGCTCCGTTTGCATGAGCGGCAAGTGCGCATGCATGCTGCTTGTGTAAATGGAGCTGTGGGTGCATGCTGGCCACTCGCATGGAACCATCCCCTTCCCACCCTCCACCCCCCGCTGGTCTGCAAAGCCAGAAAGGTTGGGAAACTCTATACTAGGTGATCTTAGGCCAGTCCTTCTCTCTCACCCTAGAAATAAGAAGGCAGTGGCAAGCTACTTCTGAAAAAAATGATGCCAAATAAACTGCAGGGACTTGTCCAGGTGATTGCCGAGACTCAAAGTGGCAAGAATTAATAATTACTGTGGTGACAAGCCCTTTGATGTAGCATGACCTCTGGAATCAGTGATTCATTAAAACTTTCTATCTTGTCCTGTCCTTTCTATCAAAGAATGTCTATGGAGATTGTCAGTCATCCAAGTCAGGGTTGTCCCAAAGGTGCTTTTTCCAAAAGGCAACTGAACTTGCTTGGTTTTTCCTGTGAAAAACCACTTCACTTCTCTTCCAAGCTTCTTCTTCCTTGAACTCAGGAAGCTTCTTGGATGAGAAGCGAAATGTTTTCAAAGAAAAAAACCAAAAAGCTCCAGTTGCCTTTCGGAAAAAGCACTTTGGGGTTTCTACTGAGGAGATCTGCAGAGCAGATGATCAAAGCCTACACGTAAACATTAAGAATACCATGTCAAGTCCGGCTTCAGACAATCTCCTGACTTCCTCCACATTTCTTGCTTTTAACTAACTCCCTCATTCTAAAAACATCGTGGAGCTCTAGCTGAAGGCAAGAGAAGAATATTAAATAGTATTCTCATGCTCATGGATTTCCCCAAAGAGAGGGAATTGTGGTGCACCATCCCTTTAAAGTAGACCTAGTTGCAAAGAGGACATTGTCTGAATCACACCATCTGGAGCCTGACCAGGGGCAGCCATGATTCACTAGACCTGCCTTAAAAAAGCTGAATGGTCCTGCTTCACTTTCACACATAAAAACAATAAGCTTACCTGGCAGCTGTGCTACAAAAGGCCCCCAATGTCAGACAAAACTATCTATAACAGTGTTTCTCAACCTTGACAATTTTAAGGCATGTGGACTTCAGCTCCCAGAATTCCACAGCCAGCATTGCTGGCTGTGAAATTCTGGGAGTTGAAGTCCACATGCCTTAAAATTGTCAACGTTGAGAAACACTGATCTGTAGAAAAGCAAGGCTAATGACAGCTATTGGGGGGATAGTCAAAATATCTGTCCCAGGTGGGTTCCTTACTTTTGCCATTCTGTTAACCTTTCACTGGATTTAAAGAGATCTTTCTGGAATTGTCCAGAATCACTTTTGGTTTCTGATTCTCTGAAAAGGTTGCTATCTTCCAGAAACGTTCAATGCTTCCAAGTCAAAACACTTTATGAACAATTTAAAAGCAGCAAACAGGTATTTCCACTTCTAAATTGCTTTCCCAAGAACCCTCTCCCCTCTTTCAATCCTATTTCTTGCTTTCTGATTTCGCCACATAAAAAGTCCTCTTATCCTGTGAGTGCTAGGAGACTTAAGATAAGGAATTATCTCAATAATGTGTTGAAGATCCTAGTTCACAGTGTCAATCTCTATCCACAGAAGTATTGTTTTTCTCAGGTGTCTCTCACTCCTCGAGTCAATTTGAAATTCTGTGCTCCTCAAAGAAGATGCAACATATCGATATTTCCTAACCCAGAGATTTAGACTAGACTAGAGGGTATGAATGTGGAGAAAAGCAAGGTTTTACACTTAGGCAGGAAAAATCAAAGGTACAAGTACAGATTAGGTGAAATCTGGCTCAAAAACAGTAACTGTGAGAGGGATCCTGGAGTCCTAGTGCAGGGCTTTTCAACCTTTTCACACATTGTACCACTTTTAGGATATGGCAACATCTTAGTACCGCCAATCACCTAGCAAGGTGTCAAAAACTTGATGACCCAAAAAAAAAGGAAAAAAAGTGATAAAGTACAGGTAGTCCTCGACTTACAACAGTTCACTTACTGACTGTTCGAAGTTACAATGGCACTGAAAAAAGTGCCCCCCAAGCCACAGCCGAGCAAGACACCTGCCTGCCTGCCCGGCGGCACTCTTCCTCCTGTCCGAGGTTTTCATTGTTGTGAGCATTTCTGTTGAGGATAGGCAGCGGGGGTGGGGAGGGGGGTGTTTGGTTTTTATTCCCCCCATCTGCTGGGTGGTTGCAGCAGGTTTTGGTCACTTCACATGACCCTGGGACTCTGTGACCGTCATAAATATGAATCAGTTGCCAAGCATCTGAATGTAAATGACAAGACCCTGGAGATGCTGCAACATTCCAGCTGATCGGTGCTTTTTCAGGGCTCAGCAGAAGCACCAGGATCAGTGCCAAGCTCCAGCTGGAGCCTGGCGCTGATCCTGGTATTTCCACTGAGCCCTGACAGCCCCGAAGCACCAATCAGCTGGAAAGCAGCACTGATCCTGGCGCTTCCACTGAGCCCTGACAGCCCTGCATCTCCAGCCATCTCTCACTCAGGCTGTGCGGTGCTGCCACCGGTACAGCTCATTCCCCTCTCCCGCTACTTTTCTAAGATGGTCGCGTACCACCTGCCAGGTGCCAATGTACCACAGGTGGTACCCGTACCACTGGTTGAAAAGCCCTGTCCTATTGGACGATCACTTAAATATGAGCCACCAGAATGCAGCAGCTAAAAAAGCGAATACAATCCTTGGTTGTATAAACAGAGGCACAGAATCAAAATAACGGCAAGTATTAGTACTACTTTATGAAACTTTAGTAAGACCACACCTGAAAGTCTCTTCCAGCTCTACTCTGATTGATTCATTTCTTCGAGTATCTTAAAAAGCTGTGTGCAGAAGGACTTTCTGGCCCACAATTTCTCCTCCATGCGAGAGAAATAGTTAAGCCTGGCCATCCTTGGTCCCAGGGATTCTTCAGTGACAGATAAAGAACTCTATTTACCAAGTTGAGATAAATGGACTCAGTTGCCTCCCAGTCACTATTGACTCTTGGCAGCTGTCTGGACAAATCCCTGCGGATTTCTTGGCAAGGTTTTGGAAGCAGGTTAGCCCTTGCCTACTTTTTCTTTCTAGGACTGAAGAAGAAAGACTGTCCCAAGATCACCCAGTTGGCTCCGTATCTAAGGCATAACATAGTCTCCCAGTTTCTGGCCCGATGCCTTAGCTAGCACACCAAACTGGTTCTCCTAAATTAACTTAGAGGACTGTCTTAATTAGAACCCATTGCTTTTGAGGAAAACAAAATCAGTTTGGCTAAAGCGATCAAGAAAAATAAAAAAAACAAGCTACCCAAGAGGCAAACAGTTTGTGCTCATTTTAGAACCCTGCAAAAGATTGAGAGAAAAATATCCAAAGAGCAGCTTTTTTAAAAAATATTTTTTTATTTTTCCAAACTCTCCCCCATACATATACCGTGATATTTATCAGATGTTAACATACATTCTTTTTACATTCATATAAGATACTTTTAACAAAATGAAATAAATACATACACATGACTTTTGGTGTTGCTCACCCATTTCCCCTTTCACTGTATCCACAATCCTTCTTCTCTACCTTCTTTCTCCCTTTCTTCTCTTCCCTCTTCTTCCTCTCCTCTTCTCTTTCCTTCACCACTCTCCTCCCCTTTCTCCCCCTTTCTCCTCTTCTCCTTCAACCTTCCTACTTCCTTCTCCACTCCTTTACTCTTTTCTCTCGCCTCTCCTTTCTTCCCTCTCATCCCTCTTCAGATACAATTCAGGGGTAATGTCCGAGCAACTCCTCTCTCCAAATTTCCCTATCTGTATTATATACAATAAGATTAATTTTCTCAATATCCAAAGAGCAGCTTACCTTGCCGGAGCGTGGTACCAAATGAAAAAAAGAAAATTATTTAGTTTCTGTTTCTAAATCTATGGGAGGACTTTAAAAGCTCCAGCTCTTCTAAGCACTAGTGCCCTCTTCTGCCTTTAAAGTTAGTAACAGACGGTGGTTATTATTAAAACAGGAAATGAAGGAAAAGATCTTTTGCTTTGCTTGAAATCTGTCTGAGCCCGCAAAGGGCGCTCTCAAAGCTGCTTTGCAAAGCCACGGAGCTGCCTCATTTCTGAAAGTAATGCAGCCTTGGGGGTTCACTTCACTTTCCTTCACACCTTCTCCAGCATCGCTTGCCCAAAAGTTGGGCAACCGCTGGAGAATAATCTTTTTGCATTTTTTCTGCATGCCTTTTGCAGGCTTAGATCAGAAGCTCTTAGCTATACAGCTAACATGCTATATCCACTGATCTTTCAAGCAATGGAAAACTATGCTGGGATAAGAAGTTTAATGAGAGTCAGGAGGCCAATAAATTTAAATAAATAGATAAATCTCACTGTCCCACTGGCGATCCCCTGCCTTCCCAAAGTAGGAATCATGTCAGCAAACAGAACAGAACAGAGTTGGAAGGGATCTCGGAGGTCTTCTATATCTAGTCAAACAATCTACTCAGGCAGGAAACCCTATACCAGTGATGGCAAACCTTTTGGAGACCGAGTGCCGAAAAACCACCCCGCCCCCCCCCACCACCTCCACAGCCCACCACAGATCGCCCAAGCGGCCCTGCAGTGCCATGGCAGCCATGCCCTCTGCCTGCACCCCACAGCATCATTTGTACATGACGGGGCGCGAGGGCAGTCTTGTCCCTACTGCCCGGCTGCCATGTCCTTGGCTGAGCTGCTCCATGCGGGCTCCACCTGGGAGTGACTCTCCTCTGGGGGGGCTGCTGGTGAGGAGGGGGCCAGGGGGGAGGTGGGGCTGGGACAATGGTGCATGTGCCTACAGAGATGGCTCTGAGTGCCGCCTCTGGCACGCGTGCCATAGGTTCGCCACCACTGCCCTATTCCATTTCAGACAAATGGTTATTCAATTTCCAATTGCTTTCTTTTGCCATAGTCATTCTAGTTCAGTGGTTCTCAACCTATGGGTCACGACCCCATTTGGGGTCGATCGACCAGTTCACGGAGGTCGCCAAGGCAAGACTGTCCGCCATTTTTTTCCCCTTTTCTGGTGGGTGCCTTACCTCCCTTGGGCTGGGCCAGCTGGTGGCCCAGCCGGTGGTCGGCCTGCTCCATCTCTGCCGCTTGCCAGCTATACCTCGGCCAGCGCAGGGGGCAGCACCACACATGCACGGCACTCCCGGGCAGGGAAAGTCCTCGACTTATGACTGGTTTAGTCCTCAACTTACAACCGGTTTAGTCCTTAATTTACGACCAGTTGGGGGTCACGGCATTAAAAAGGTTGAGAACCACTGTTCTAGTTCTAGTTGCAGATCTTTTTATTTGTATTATCTTCTCCAGTTCCTTTTCTTCTCTTCTGCTGTCTCCAGGTACTGCCATGTCCACTACCCAGACTTTTTTTTTTTTTTTGCCTTTCTTATGCACAATTGTTAAGCCTTGGGTCTTATGTGACAGGTGTCTGCTTGAATCTATTCCAAACAAAAGGCTAGAGGGGTTATAAAAACCTACTACCCATGTGCTCAGCCCTTCTTTCCTCTGCTCTTTCCTGCAAGAACCATCTTTCTGCCTCTTCAATAAACTGTAACCTTCTTCCCAAAGCAGTCGCCATGTTGCTTATTTACATGTTGCTTATTTATTCCCTGCTTGGATGAATCAGGATGAAGACTTTAATCCAACACTAGTTAGGGCAATGAAACGTTTGCAAGAAGAAAAAAAAAGCAAGCTCAGAAAGCACCAAGGACCTCGCATTCGAAAGGTCTCCTTATTTGGAGGTCCCGAGACACATTTACAAAACCAGAAGCCGCTTTGATTCGGGAGAGGGTGCAGAGTTTCAATAGGTGCCCTCGGGAGCTTCCTAAAGCATCTTGTGGACCTTCCATCGTCTCTGCTTGCTGCCCTCCAGAGAGCCAGTCATTCAATCCTCCCAAAACAGCTTTTGGCAGAAAAGCTCGGGCTGATCTGGGAAAGCGCCTGATTTGCAAGAATCGCTGCAAAGCCGAAACCGAAACTTAAAAAGGCTGCTAACAAAGGAGGCGAGTCTGCTTGAACTTCACAAGCATCAAAACACTGGCAGAGCGACGTTTTGGCTCCCGCCTGAACTTTGAAAGCAAGCAAGTGCCGACGTGAGTGTCTCCTTCGGTGGTGGTGGGTGTTTATGCCGCTTGTCATCCTTTCTTGCAAGGGCAGCTGAGCATCTGGAGGGTTGTAGCCTTGAAGGAGCAGAAAATTCCTCCCTCGGAGAGTGGAAAAATGCAAGTATGGCGCGGGGAGGCAGGGAGAGTTGGGGTATGAGTAACCTTGCCAGTTTTAGAGATTTCTCTGCCTAATTGGGCTAGTTTTAGAGATTGGCTGCGGGAATTTGTTAGCGTTTGGGGGCTGCTTTCCCCCCCCTCCATATTTTGAGCTACTTTTTAAGGGCATGAAGATTTGGGGCCATGTGTCAAACTGTCGTGCAAAATGCATCGCAGGGATACAGGTGACTGAGTCGGGTTAGCCTCCACCTCCCCTCTCGCTTCACCTTCTAAGGAACTAAGGATTAATTTCCTGACAGAACAATTAATCAGTGGAACGACTTGCCTCCAGCAGTTGTGGATGCTACAACACTTTTAAGAAGAGACTGGACAACCATTTCTCTGAAATGGTATGGTTTCCTGCCTGAGCAGGGGGTTGGACTAGAAGATCTCCAAGGTCCCTTCCATCATCATCATCATCATTATTATTATATAGAATAGAATAGAATAGAATAGAGCTGGAAGGGACCTTGGAGGTCTTCTAGTCCAGCCCCTGCTCAAGAAGGAAAACTTATCCTATACCAGCTCAGACAAGTGATTGTCCATTCTCTTCTTAAAAATCTCCAGTGATAGAGCACCCAGGATTTCTGGGGGTAAGCTGTTCCACTGGTTGATTGTCCTCACTGTCAGGAAGTTTCTCTTTAATTCCAGGTTGCTTCTCTCTTTGATCAGTTTCCAACCATTGTTTCTTGTCCTTCCCTCTGGTGTTCTGGTGAACAACCTGACAACCCCCCCCCCTGCCTTGTGACAACCCCTCAGATACTGGAACACTGCTATCATGTCTCCCCTATTTCTTCTTTTCTTTAGACTAGCCAAACCCAAGTTCTGTAGCCATTCTTTGTATATTTTGGTCTCCAAGCCTTTGATCATCTTAGTTTCTCTTCTCTGAATTTTTTCCAAACACTCAACATCTTTTTTGTGATATGGTGACCAAAATTGGCTGCGGTATTTGAGGTATGGTCTTACTAGGGTTTTATAAAGTGGTACTAATACTGCATGTGATCTTGATTCTATGCCTCTGTTTATACAACTTAGGATTGTATTAGATTTTTTGGTTGCTACTGCACACTGCTGGCTCATAGTTAAATGATTGTCCACTAGACTAGGACTCCAAGGTGCCTCTCACAGTTACTGTTTTTAAGCCAGGTCTCGCCCAATCTGTATTTGTTCCTTTGGTTTTTCCTGCCTAAGAGTAAGACTTTGCTTTTTTCCACATTGAAACTCATTTTGTTGGATAGGGCCCATTGTTCAAGTTTGTCAAGATCTTTTTGGATACTGAGTTTGTCTTCTGGGGTGTTGGCTACTCTTGTCAGTTTGGTATCATCTGCGAATTTGATGAGTTCCCTCGTCTAAGTTATTTATGAAGATGTTGAAGAGTACTGGGCCTAAGACGGAACCTTGTGGTACCTTACTTCTCTCCATGTGGATGTAGTGCCATTGAGGACTACTCGTTGAGTACAGTTTGTCAGCCACCATCATCTGGTGGTGATGTTGTCTATTCACCTTTTTCTAGCTTACCAAGGAGTAGGTTGTGGTCCACTTTGTCAAATGCCTTACTGAAATCTAGGTATACTACATCCACTGTGTTTCACTGGTCTACTATTGAAGAATGAGAAGATTGGTTTGGCATGATCTGTTTTTAACAAAACCATGTTGGCTGCTAGTTATGACTTTGTTTACTTCTAGTTGTTCACAAATCTGTTTTTTGATTATCTTTTCTAGGATTTTCCCAAGTATTGATGTTAAACTGATTGGTCTGTTGTTTCCTGGGTCCATTTTTTTTCCTTTCTTGAAGATAGGGACCACATCAGCCCTTTTCCAATCAACCTCAAGGATTTGTAAAAGATGTGGTGCAATGGTTCTGAGATAACATCTACCAGCTCTTTCAGAACTTTGGGATGTAATCTGTCGGATCCTGGTGATTTATATTTGTCAAGGTTGGATAGGTGTTTTCTTACCATTTTCTTGCTTGTTTTGATTTTTGTTTGTAGTATGTCTTTTGCAATAGTTTTTTTGTGTGTGTGTGTGTGTTGGGCTATAGTTTCTTTTTGTGTGAAGACTGATGCAAAGTATAAGTTAAGCAGCTCTGCTTTCTCCTTATTGCCTGTAACTTCCTTGCCATCTTCTCTCTCTACAGTTTCCTTGACTTTCTTCTTCTTATTTATATGTTGGAAGAAACTTTTTTTGTTGTCCTTGATTTCTGTTGCGAGTTTTTGTTCGTTCTGGGCCTTTGCTTTCCTGATTTTGTCTTTGCCTGTTCTGGCTGTCTGCTGATAATCAGCCTTGGTTATGTGCCCCTCTTTCCATTTTTTTTTATTTGTCCTTTTTGTCTTTCAGTTTGTCAGAGAGATCTTTGTGCAGCCATGCTGGTTTCTTCTCGGATTTCTTGTTTTTCTTTCTCAATGGTACTGTGGTGGTCTGGGCTTTTGTGATCGCATTTTTCTTCAATCATATATATTTTTTCAGTTATTTAGACTGAAGTATAGAAGTGTAATATTCAGTTTTTATTGATGGCATTGTTTAAGCAACACTTAATGAATATTGTGATTTTAAAAATCCTTGTTTCTCTCCAGATGTATTAGAAGTAAAATCTGTAAATTCCCAGTGAATGTGGTTATAGGAGCTATAATCCAATATTTCTGAGAGAAGCAAACTAGGGACACGTGAAAGAAAGGATCAGAAGTGAGTTTCTAGACCTAATTCATAAAAGTACAGCAAGTCAGGCAAATTTTGCCCATTTCTAAAAAGAAAGTTGGTGCCAGTAAAAAAAAAAATTACCACTGTGATTATCATGGAAGTGGCAAATTGTGAGTTCACTGGGATTTTTTTTCCCAACCCAGGTATTTCCAGGAATACAACATTAACTGTTCAACCTTTCCTCTTTTATTTTTGGTTTAGTTTTATCCAGGCAGAAATGGCTGCCCAGACCAAAGATTTACTTGCTGTGGAAGTCCTAATGAATATTATCAAAGCAGAGGAAGTCCAAAAGGAGATGGAGCTGATGATGAAGCCCCATGCAAATTGGGAGGAGTATCTGATGCCTGGGCCCATTTCCATCGGTATCTTCGGGGAGCTGTCTTATATTGCTGCAGGACAAGGAGACTTTGTCATCAGTCCTGCCCCACCCGAGGGAGGCTACAAATATTTGAAGTATCCGAACTCTTTCCAGGCTTCCCTGATGCAGGTGAACAACAGTGGGTGGCATGCCTTCAGCATAGCCCACAAGAATATGGATGGCATCCGGCTCCTTTCTATGAGCGTCCCTGAGCAAATCAAAAAGGCTATCCAAATCTTATTTCAGGAAAAGGATCTATTGTGGGACATCTTGCTCCTTAACCAACTAGATAGCCTGAAGTCAATTGTAAACGAATGTTCATGTTTAGCAAAGTCAGTTGAGAGTAAGTTTGATGATGCTATATGTATGATTGGGGAATTTCTGGATGTGTGTACAAGTTCCAAATCACAATATGAGCAAAGATTGGTAGAAACGAGGTGTGCATTGGAAGACTTGAAGCTAAGAAAGGCAGCCGCTGAAGAAGCCCAGGCAAAAGCAGAGGAAAACTACAAGGAAACAAAGAACAGAGTAGCTGAAACGTTTGACAATTATCGAAAAGTGGTAGATGGCATTCCTAATGAGCCTACAGGCACTTTTATGGACATTTATGGAAAACAAACACAAACTAGACACATGTTGACGATAAGTCAACAAGAATACCAGAAAAGTTTTGACATCTTGAAGCAGCTGGATAAGGATTTGCTGGATGTGCTCAGTGAAATGAAGAAATGTGAAACGAAGCAGAGTGATTTTGAAACCACCAAAAAGAAGCTGATCAAAAGAGTGAATGCTTTTAATATTGCTCAAAACAATACGCACGGCATCCGTCTTCTTTCTATGAGCATCCCTGAGCAAATTGAAAGGAACATCCAGACCGTGTTCCAGAAAGGCTTTACCTTCATGGATGACTTGCTACCTGGACAATTAAGTGTACTGGAAGCAGTTGCAGATGAATGTTTGTCTTCATTTAAGAAAATTGACAATCGGTTTGATAATACTGTTTGTCTAATTGGGGAACTCCTGGAAGTGTATACAAGTTCTAAATCACAGTATGAACAAGGATTGACAGAAACCAGACGGGCGTTGGAAGACTTGACGTTAAGAAAGGCAGCCGCTGAAGAAGCACTAGCAAAAGCAAAAGAATACTACAAGGAAATGAAGAACAGAGTGGCTGAAACATTTGATGATTATAGAAAAATGAAAGATACCATTTCTGCTGCTGGCTGGAATAATGTATGTCTGCAATTCACTTCAACCCTAAGAGAAATCTTGAAAGGGCCAATTATCAATCTGACATCTTTGCTTAGCTCTAACGATCATAAGTTGCTTTGTTCAACTCACAGCAGAAGGGAGATAGTGTTTGAAAGCAAGGATGACTTTATAGCCATGAACGATATCTGTGCCCAGTCAGCTGAAATGTGGGCATTGGTGGATGCTCTTAAAACCGTGGTGGATGATGAAGGTAATATTGACACGGATCTCCTCTGCAATAAAAAACACAATGAAATCAAAACAGTATGGATCAAAAATAAATCTCAGCAACTGATAGGACAAATAACAAAAGTAAATGAGTGTAGCCTCAAGACTTTGGCAATGGAAATATGCCAGTGTACAATGGATATCACTGATATGTTAACTCAAGCAATAGAACTGGGCAACACAAACAAGGAAAGTCTTAAAAAGACAATAAACGTTCTCTCAAACACTATGGAAATTTTTGATAGCAGAAGCAGAGCATATAATGTCACACCTGCTTTTGGTCCCATGGCACCAGATATGATACAATCCCAGACAAAGATTCAAGAGAACCCGGCGTTCGCAGCGGAAAATTTAAAAAAAAAAATAAACGAAATTTTGGAAATGCTGAAGATGAGCCAAGACGAATACCACAAAAGTTTTGATAACTTAATACGACAGAATAAGGATTGGCTGGATGTGCTCAATGAAATCAGGGAATGGGAAGCAAAACAGAACGATTTTGAAACAGCCAAAAATGTGCTGATCAAAGGCCTGGATGCCATGGGACGAGTGAAAGAACAGTGGGAGAAAATGGTGTGTTTCTTCCAGATGATCTACAGTCTCACTGAATCCTATAGGAATAAAGATCTTACCGAATTTCTACTATCCGTTGAAAATATTTCCAAAATTTCAAGTTACTCCCAGCACCTCATAGATGGGTTCTCTAAGCAGGCACTCAATGCATCTAATATGTCTCACTTGGTAAACATGATATCCGAAACTTACACAGAAGTGTCCTCAGAATGCCTGATGGATAAAGTAAACATGCCAGGGAGGCTTATTTCCATGGACCCTTCCGATCCCCAATTCCAGATAGAGCGTGTCAACTTAGCAGAAGATTGTGACAATGCCCAACTGGCCATAGAGGACAGGGTCATTACGAAAAAGGAAAAATTTGAAAAAAATATCCTTGTCAGAGTGACAAAAATCTCTTCTGAGCTGAAGGCTGTCTTGCCAAAAATGACTGAAATATAGAGAAAAGCTACTGAACATAATGAGCAGAAGGGGATGAGGGAAAACCCCCAGGATAGAGCTGATTAATTAATTAAAGACTTGTCTTTCAATCCAGGAGGGAAATGGAGGCAGTCTAGGCTTTTCTATATTATTGTATTTCCCTCAGAATAATAGAATGTGAAGTGGGCAACTTGGTCATCTCTGTATTTGCTAAAACTAGAAAACTAAGAAACAGCTATAGATATTGCCATTTAGGATCCTTTCAAAAACCGTCTTGGCTCATCGTTTCTGAGGTAGGGGCTCATGTTAGCTCCTACTAAATATTTCTATTTTTGTTTCTACTTTCGCGTACCAGTTCCCTCTTCTCTCTCCAGTCAATTTTTATGGACCAATAGCTCTTCCTCTGAGCTGATGTGGCTACTAGTTTGTCTGCCCTACCACTCCTCTCTTTTGAGGCTTTTTCTACTAGAAAAAAAGCTGAAATGTGCCTTGTTTGCTTCTTTTTTCACCATCGTTTGTGTGTCTGTGGTAGAGAAAAGGGTTGAGAGAGAAAAGGATTGAAATATATGATGTCTAATTTTGACATGCCATTCATTTGAATTCACTGCTATTAATGCTATTATTGTTTTTGCTCCTATTGTCATTGCAGGCTTCATTCATTTTTGGAGTGAAGGAACAATCAAAAAGCATGAGTCTATCTGTCTGTCTGTCTATATACCTACCTACCTATCATCTATCTGATATTTGCATGTATCCATGTGCAAACCTATGTGCAAGCATGTAATATACACATACTATAATTTGTCATGTTTTCCTCTGTTTGAAAAGCATCTACTCTTCATTTTGGTTCAAACCTCTAAAATTCAGTTGGTCATCTTTACTCTAAGTAAATATATAAGTAGCTGCTCAGTCTCTCCCCTTTTATATAACCAGTCTTCTTTTTGATTATTACATTTTTTTCTGTTCTCTTTCTTTCTCTGGTGGGTAACATAGGAAAGCAAACCTGTGGAGTCCTTGGTGCTCTCTGATCTTGGTTGTTTCCTTGCAGACGTTTCATTACCCAGCTAGGTAACATCTTCACAGTATAATTCTTGAGCTACTCTTCTATTGAAAGCAAATGTATTGGGTAGTAAATAGACTGCTTCAAAATTCTTGAGTGGAAGATCTTCAATCCTTGATCCAACAGACCAATATGTCATCTCCAAGACAGATGTATCCTTAATGGGGAGATGGCTGCCTGGATTACTAAACCCATTGAAAAAAATAGGTGGGAGATTCTCAGTTTTCTTGGGTATAAGTGTATCTAAGGAGGAAAAGAATGACAGCTCAGAGAGATGCTCCTCAAGTACTTTCAGATGGTAGTTTTCCAGGAAATCAAGAGAAAGAGGTTGACCAGTCAGCCAGAATGAACTGAGTAATTAAATATTGAGCTTTTTGGGTGTAGTAGATGTTTTATTAATAGGTATTAACAAATATTAAAAGATGTTTAATAACAGGTCTGGTAGTTTTCCAATACATTGGCATGCCACCATCAAGAAGTTCAGTATCCAGAAATTGTTTGGGACTTCTAATCAATACAAATCAGAGTGAAATGTGAGCAATATTTGAAAAGTGTTGCTGTTCCTTCCCTCTAACCCAGTGATTCTCAACCTTTCTAATGCCGTGACCCCATAATACAGTTCCCCATGTTGTGGTGACCCCCAAGTGGGTGTGGCCACCAATAAGAGGGAGTAAGACAGCTAGGGAAAAGGGGAAAAAATGGCGGACAGCATGGTTTGGTGACCCCCGTGAAATGGTCATTCGACCCCAAATGGGGTCCCGACCCACAGGTTGAGAACCACTGCTCTAACCACTGTTTATTAGATTATGGCTATCACAAACGGCATTGGGTACATGTAGATTTTAAACCTGAACTTTTTTTTACTAGGTATAATACCAGAAAAATCTGATAAGCAAAAGGTTTAACATTGCATGTACTAACAGCAGTGAGGATTGTATTTGCTCAGCACTGGAAGAATGAAGAAACGCCACTGGTCACAGAGATAATCAAGAAGATATTGGACTGTGCTGAAATGGACAGACTTACATTGAGGATCAAAGAGTAAGAAGATACAGAATATTTTCAAACATGGAATTTATTTTATTAATGATTGGAAAAAGGGAGTAGAGACTAAGAATGTAACTTGTATTATTAAGCAAACAAATTAACCCAGACAACACAATGTTTATTAAGCACTAATCAAATGTAAAAATAGAAAATTAATAAAAAAAACCTGCATTACATGCATTTAATTCACATAGGCTTAAGATCAAATGAACTTTGCAAATCCAACCATTGAGTTTACAGCTGAACTGAAATTTTACCTGAATAACTCAAGAGTTTCCTGCATTGAGACACAATCTCCCACAGTACTTTACAGAGTTTTGACTTATGGCCACAATTATGGGATAAGAATCTGAGTCATTAGGCAAAATGGTCAGTAAGCAAGATGCCCATGGAACTGCTTCGCTCACTGACCGCAATCCTGGCACTCCCGGCTGCAGTCATGCAGTTGCGAGAGGTCGTGAAGCAGAGTGGAGGGGTGGGAGAGGCCCTGGGAGACCTGACACAGGCCATGTGTGGCTGGTGGGGTGCTGTAATATGGTGCAAAGCCACAGTCATCCCAACTCAGCCCTGCAGTGTGGGATGAGGCAACAACAGTTCCACACAGGACCTGAAGTAGAGGCCTGAGGCCTTCAGCAGTCTCAGCCAGCTGTCACCACTATAGTCTATACCAGGGGTAGGCAACCTTGGCTCTTTTATGACTCATGGACCAACTCCCAGAATTCCTGAGCCAGCTGGCTCAGGAATTCTGGGAGTTGAAGTCCACGAGTCATAAAAGAGCCAAGGTTGCCTACCCCTGGTATAGATTAAAGTTGTCTTCAATCAAGTCAAACTAAAAGAAGCAATGACTTAATAAGCTATTGTTAAGTCAGGTCGTGATCAAACAACAGACCCAATGGAATGTGTGAGGAAAGCTGACAATTGCAGCACACTTTCCATGGGGCTTCCACCCATCAAATTGCAGTGGTTTGAGCAGAAATGGACATGTTTCAGTGTACTTCAGAGGTTGCATTGGTTGCCGATTTGCTTCCAGTCCAATTCAAGGTGCTGGTTCTCTTGGTAGCCCTCCACAGCATAAGGGATCATCATCACGATTATTGCAAACCTCTCCGAGTTAGCTATCCTCATATCCCTAGGTAGCCCTATAAGATCTGGGCCACAAAACATGAGATGGCAGCAAAGCCCCACGTTTTGGCCTTCCCTAAAGATGCCTTTTCAAAGATTGGTCATTATTTCCAACAGAAAATAATAAATCCCTTTGCTTTTGTGCCCAGTTTGCTATCTTGACTTCTCCATTATTACACGTTTGGACCCCACAGAATTTTGGAAAGCAGTTATACATAAATGATCCAGACTTACAGCATCAGAGTCTGGTTTGGAAGCATCACTGCTTCAGACAGGAAGGCGATGCAGAGAGTGGTGAGGATGGCCGAAAAGATCATTGGCAGTTCCCTCCCTCCTATCCAGGATATAGCACAGAAGCGTTGCTTGAGCAGGGTCCATAAGATTATCTGGGACGCCACACATCCTCTTCACGACCTGTTTTCCTTGTTACCTTCTGGGAGGAGGCTTCGTGGTATCCGTAGAACATCCAGATTCAGCCGTAGTTTCATTCCATACAGTAGTAAGCTTGTGAAGTCTCAAGCTTCCTCCTTCCGTTATGTATTCAAGATGGACAGTATTTAATATTTATTTGTTATGTATATGTAGGGGTGTGGGTTTATACATATATTCTATATAGTGTGTTTTAGGTGTGTGTCACGTGTTTCACTTTGAGAACGGGCAACTAAATTTCGTTTTTGATGTGTGCCGTTGTGCCCACAGTAAAAAAAAAAATGACAATAAAGGTTATCTTATCTTCATCTGTTTACCTACCTTTCAAGATAATGCTCTGAAAATCAAAGAAAAAGGGGTCACATAGAGAGTGAAACCAGAAAAATAAAGATAGGGATTTTAAAAAGGCAGGTTCTGGAGCATTTCTGAAAGGTCAGCTTGGTGGGAGATGGGGGTTACAGCTTGAAATGCTGCCAACAGCTCAAGGACCCCCTCCCACCTTCTTCCTGGTCATGTGACCCAGAATAGCCTATACCAGTGATGGCGAACCTTTTAGTGCCCAAAACCTGTCCCTACCCCGCCCCTGCTCTGCTCCACCCCGCCCCCCTCCGCCTTCACGGCCTGCCGCAGCAGATCACTCAGGCAGCCCAGCAGCTATGGTGGCCATGTCCTCTGCCCGTACCCCGCAGCATCATCCATGCACAACAGGGCATGAGGGCGGAGTCTTGTCCCCACTGCCCACCTGCCATGTCCTTGGCTGTGCTGCTTCACACAGGCCACGCCCGGAGGCAACTCTCCTCCAGGGGGCTGCTGGTGAGAAGGGGAGTGTGGGGGGAAATGGGGTTGAGGCAACAGCATGCATGTCCACAGAGAGGGTTCTGAGTGTCGCCTCTGGCACACGTGCCATAGGTTCGCCACCACTGGCCTATATCCAGCCCAGACCAGCCTTTCCAGGGCTCATCACACAAACCAAGACAGAGGTAACAACCTCAATAATACTTAGACTTATATACCGCTTCACAGTGCTTTACAGCACTCTCTAAGACTCAGTGGTTTTCAGAGTCAGCCTATTGCCCCCTTGTACCTTCATTGCACAGAAGAAAATAAGAGATGTTCCTCTGAACACTGTTGATAAGAAGATAGCAAAAGGTTCAGGTTTACATCCTTATCCTTCTTGGCTTAGAAAAAAGTACAGTAAATAGAAGTTTAATAAATACGCTCAATCAATCTCCTACGTTAGAGGAGATGCTGGTAATACACATAGTCAGAAAAATAGACACAATTCCCATGAAACTGCCTGAGGTTTTCTCTATGTTTTCAAACTACTGCAGTGGCTCAAATTCCACATAAATCGCATGAATTTTCTGTTCTATCCGTGCAGGAGAGCACAGGTAGATTTCTTAGTGACTGCCTTGTTTATCAACCATTCAGTTGAGAACAGGAGAGAATTTATCCACATTTACCCATGTGGATGTCATAATAGTAAGGGTCACATTTTTTAATGCCGTTGTAACTTTGAAGGGTCACTAAATGAACTGTTGGAAGTTGAGGACTATCTGCATATGTATTATGGCAGACATGTCAAACACAAGGCCCAGGAGCCGGATGCGGCCCGCAAAGTGGTTTCATGTGGCCCGCAAAGCCATCCTGGAAAGAGTGAGGGAACGGCCCCCTCTGCCCTGGCCCTGGCCCAGGCCGGTTGGGAGCCAATGTACAATTTTGTGGTGGCCATCTATGCTGAAACGCATTTAGTCTTAGCTCCATAAGCCCCCCCCCCTTGCATGGCCTGAGGGGAACAGTGAGGCTGCTCCAGTGGACCATGCCTTGGCACTTGCCCGGGTCCCACCCCCTTCTGCCAGAGATCCTCAGATCTGTCCCACTTCTGCCCAGGCCCCCACAGGCACCCTTGACGCAAACGATGTAGAGCTGGCCACACCTACCCAGTAGGCCACATCCATTCCCTCCAGGCCCACCCAGTAGGCCGCACCCACCCTGGCCACACCCACCTGACCCCCCAAGGGCAACCGCAATGCTGATGCAGGCCTCAATGAAATTGAGTTTGACACCCCTGTATTGTGGTGTCATAAGGTGCATGGAGGGAATGGAGCTTGTGCAGCAACATCCCGAGGCTGCTTTCTTCAGTTTGACAAAAATGACGGATCCTGCAGATGCAAAAGCTGGTAAAAGATGCAAAAGCTGGTAAAAGAGCAGAGGTGGCGCAGCAGTTAGAGTGCACTACTGCAGGCCACTTTAGCTGACTGTGTTCAGCAGGTCAGCGGTTCAAATCTCACCGGCTCAAGGTTGACTCAGCCTTCCATTCTTCCGAGGTAGGTAAAATGAGGACCCAGATTGTTGGGGGCAATGTAAATATATATATATACATTGCTTACTGGTGTACACTGCTTAGAGAGTGCTTGCACTTAAAGCGGTATATAAGTCTCATAAATAAATAAATTTATTATGTGCATTTGATTCCCTTTAAATAAGATGTTGCTTCTCCTTCAAAATAAAACTAGCAATCCTAAGCATCTAAAGAAAGCAAATAGTTTTTTGAAAAGGCACAATAAAATAGCATAAAGCAACAAATCAAGATCTGTGGTCTCACTAAAAGATGCAATAGCCCAGCTGTGATGAAACTATTAAACGGTTTCTGTTTATTTTTTTAACTGAATAAGCAAGTGAGAATGCCCATCAATAAATCAAACTACAATGTTTTTTCACTATTTTACTGAACATAAACATATACAGGTAGTCCTCAACCACAATTGAGCCCAAAATGTATTTGTTGAGCGAGTTTTGCCCCATTTTAGGACTTTTCTTGCCACCGTTGTTAAGTGAATCACCACAGTTGATAAATTAGTAACCCGATTGTTAAGTGAACCTGGCTTCCCCATTGACTTTGCTTGTCAGAAGGTCGCAAAAGGGGATCACATTTAACCCTGGGAAACGACAACCGTCATAAATATGAACCAGTAACAAAGCATCCGAATTTTGATCACATGAGCACAGGGATGCTGCAACGGTCTTAAGTGTGAAAAACAGTCATAAGTCACATTTTTTCAGTGCCATTGTATTAAATGGTTATTAAATGAATTGTTGTAGGTCGAGGACTACCTGTAACTTTATTTCCAGAAAACATGTCTTAATTACCAGCTACTATAAGGAGATCAGAGTTATTATTTTTTTCTGCCCTTAAAGAAACTGGAAAACATATATAGGTAGTCCTCAATTTACAACCGTTTGTTTATTGACTGTACAAAATTAGGATGGCGCCGAAAAAAGTGACTTGTTGACCATTTTTCATACTTACGACCATTGTAGCATTCCCCAGGCGCCATGGGATTTACATTCAGATGCTTGATAACTGACTCACATTTATGACAGTTGCAGTGTCCTGAACTCTTGTGCTCCTCTTTTGCAACCTTTCAACAAGCAAAATCACTGGGGAAGCTAGATTCACTTAACAACCAGGTTACTAATTCGACAACTGCAGGGATTCACTTAACAAATGTGGCAAGAGAGATTGTAAAATGGGGCAAAACTCACATAAGAAATGTCTCACTTAGCAACATTTAGGCAAAAAAAATCATCACAGTTTTTGTGATGACTCAGACTGGAGAGGGTCCTGGAGATGCACCTGAGAGGATAAAGCACAAAATTAGACACCCAACATACTTATCACACCTTTCTACTCAGAAGGATCGCAGATACCAGGGAGGACAAATGCATCATTGGTAGCATATAAAAAAACAACAACAAAGTCTTGTTCTCATAAATGCTAGACATTTCAGATGCAAGTAAAAGCTTCCACACACAAAACTGAAAAATTATCAAGCTTTTTAAAAGCCCCTGGAAATCCACCATTTCAGCAAGGTTCTACATTTAGGCAAGAAAAACCAAATGCACAAGTACAGCATAGGTGGCACTTTGCTCAATAGTAGTAACTGTGAGAGGGACCTCGGAGTCCTAGTAGACAATCACCTAAATATGAGCCAGCAGTGTGCTGCAGCTGCCAAAAAGGCCAACACAGTGCTAGGCTGCATTAACAGAGGGATAGAATCAAGATCACGTGAAGTATTGATACCACTTTACAATGCCTTGGTAAGGCCACACTTGGAATACTGCATCCAGTTTTGGTCACCATGATGTAAAAAAGATGTTGAGACTAGAAAAAGTACAGAGAAGAGCAACAAAGATAATTAGGGGACTGGAGGCTAAAGCATACAAGGTACAGATGCTGGAATTGGGTATGATTAGTTTAATGAAGAGAAGGGCGAGGGGGGACATGATAGCAGTGTTCCCATATCTCAGGGGCTGCCACAAAGAAGAGGAAGTCAAGCTATTTTCCAAGGCGCCTGAAGGCAGGACAAGAAGCAACGGGTGGAAACTAAGCAAGGAGAGAAGCAATCTAGAACTAAGGAGAAACTTCCTGACAGTTAGAACAATTAACCAGTGGAACAACCTGCCTCCAGAAGCAGTGAATGCTCCAACACTGGAAGTTTTTAAGAAGAGATTGGACAGCCGTTTGTCCGAAATGGTATAAGGTTTCCTGCCTGAGCAGGGGGTTGGACTAGATGACCTCCAAGGTCCCTTCCAATTTTACTATTATTATTATTATAAATTTTGGGCTAATGGCAATTGTAAGTTGAAAACTACCTGTAATAGCCAAGTAAATATAACTACAGTGATCCAATTTTAAGGGGGGGGTGGGTTATATTGCCAGAACGGCCCTGTTCCTCCCTCCAAGTGACTGGGTTCAGTTCCTCGGCTTCCATGGCAAGCAGGTGCCCTAAGCTGCTCACCCGCTCCATCAGGTACTTCTCTGACACCATGGTGTAAGCCTCCGAAATCATGGCGACCAGCTGAGCCACACTGGAGGCATTGAAAATATGTCCGTAAACCAGATCAGCCATGAAAGCTTTGGACGAGTAGCTGGAGACCTTTTGGGCACTGTCTACGGTGTCGGCAAATTCTTTCACGCTCCACACCAGGCTGGTCTCGATTAAGTTGGAGATCATTTGGAAAAACCTCACCATCTTTTCCCATTGCTCTTTTACCCGACTCAGGGCTTCCAAGCCTTTTATGAGCATTTTCCTGGCCGTGTCAAAATCCACTTCCTTAACTTGGTACCTTCTCATGGTGCAGAGGATCTCGGTCAGTTCTTCATTCTGCTTCTTGAAATTTTCAAAGCTTCTTTGATACTCCTCTCTGGTGGCCTTCAAGGCCTCTCGGCTCTGCTGCACTTTAAGGCGGGCATTTTCCACTCCTGTGTTTCTCACTTCCCCCATCTTGGATACGTTGGGGGGGTCTGGGTGAAAACGCCGGTGATCGGGTGTATATTTTGCTGTAGGAGTCAAATTCTGAAGCCTTCTTATGGAGCTGGTGTATTCCATCCAGCAAACTCTTCCCCACTTTCCCGACGTTACCCACGGATGAAGCTATTTGCTCCAACTGTTGACAAATATCCAGGGCAGCTTGGCAAATCTCCTGGGCTTTGACTTTAGGGTCACACTCTTCCTCTTTGGCAATAGAGTCTCTCAGCCTTTGTAAATTCTTCTTCACCCACCCTGTTTTGATCTCCCCAGTCTTTTCATCGAGAATCATGGAGATCTTAATGTTTCTGTGATCATCCAAGACAATGGTTCTCAACCTTTCTAATGCCGCGACCCCATAATACAGTTCCCCATGTTGTGGTGACCCCCAACCACTTATATATCACCGGGTGCCGGGGCGTGGCCAAAGAAAAGGGGGGAAAATGGCAGACAGCCTTGTTTGGCGACCCCAGTGAAATGGCCATTCGACCCCAAATGGGGTCCCGACCCACAGGTTGAGAACCACTGATCCAAGAGATTTCTCAAGCTAGTAGCAAAAGTCAAAAGCTCAGCTGACTTTGAACATATGACACTGGCTGAAATGAAAGGAATCATCCTCTTCAGTCCTTCACCTCTGCCCATCTCGGCTGCTTCTCCAAGATTCTTCTGCTTCCCTGCTAGCATCCGGCTAAACTCAACTGAAAACGTCCCCAGAGTCTGGGTGAGAGTAGCAACCAGCTCCATTCCTACCACATCCCATCCTGTAGGGATGGAGTCCATGGCTTCTTTATACTGCTGGAAAGACTCCTCAACTTGCTCCTTCATCTGATGATGGTATCGTTCGGCCATCTCCTTGGCTTCCTTGGCTGACTTTTCTCGGATCTTGGCTTGTTCCAGAGCAATCTGCACTTCCTTCAGCTCCTTCTCATAGCCCCGCTTGGCATTGAGACAAGCCTCCAGGAGTTCTTGGATGAGGAGGATGACATCTGTGAACTTGGCCCTGACCGCCTTGGCCAGCCCACCGCATTGCTCTGTCGCTGCCTGGAGGTTTTTGAGCTGATTCGGAAGCAAAGCCGTGACGACCTCTGTGTCCTGGATGAGAGTCCGTACAATGGTTTTCATCTGTTCCGGGATGCTGCTTGCCAGCAGTCTAATCTTGTCCATGTTGACGTGGGCTTCGTTGAAGGCAATCCAGCCTCAACTGCTGACTTGGCACAGGGAGGCTTTGAAGGATTCTGGACATTTGAGGTGCTGGAAGCCTCCCTCAGGAGGTAACGTGTTGAGGGAGAAATCCCCCTGTCCTGTTGAGATGAAGATCAGCTTCCCTAGGATAGCAATGGAGATGGGCGCTGGCATGAGAATTTCCTCCCAGTTGGCATAAGACTTCATGAGAAGCTCCGTTTCTCTCCGTACATCTTGCCCTCTGCTCAGGGTCTCCACAGCTTTGACCACCGCATGCGATTGTCCTGCTGATGCCATAGTGAATAGCCTGCGAAGAAAAATAGACATCACTCTTAACAAAGGTGATTATAGGTAGTCCTCAGTTTGCAACCGGTCACTTAACAACAACTCAAAGTTATGACAGACCTCCCCACAGCAACTTACAACCTATTTTCACTTGCAACAGCTGCACACACTCACAAACCACGGTCGCATGATCTCATTTTGGGCACTTGGCAAGCAACCTTTATGGTTGTTTGCAGCTTCCCACAGTCACTTGACCACAATTTGTGACATTTTTTTTTTTTGCCAGTTTTCAGTGTTTATGATTTCTGGCAAAAAAAAAAAAAAACGCCCATTAGGGAAAACTGATTCATTTAACAACCATGGTGTTTGGTTAATGTCCACCGTAACATATTTTAAAAAAAATCTGATCTGGTCAGATACTGCCTCAATTTATGACTGCAACAACTTACCACTCACTTCTAGGCTTAATTACGGTTGTAAGTTAAGGACTAGTTGTAAAAGAATTATTCAGTTATATTCTGTACTGCCCCAGGGAGATACAAACATCAGAACCCTAAAGCTGGCAATCTGATGTTAGCAGCAATAGATTTAACAATAGGGCTCACAACAACAACATTGCAGAAAGCTTGACATTTCATGTTGCTTTGATCATTCCACCTAAAGTTTTGGTGCTATTGACTGCCATCCCAAATGGCCACAGATGAAAGAGCTGTTCAGGGCATTCATTCAAGTGATTCTTACTTAACTCCAGAGGACAAAACTAGAACTAATGGGATGAAACTTCAAGGCGGTAGATACAGATCACACATCAGAGGTCTTATAGTCCAACCTCCTGCTTAAGCAGGAGATCCTATACCAGGGGTAGGCAACCTTGGCTCTTTTATGATTTGTGGACTTCAACTCCCAGAATTCCTGAGCCAGCATGGCTCACCTTGGAAACCTCTCCCTTTCCCCTCAGCATGGCTGGCTCAGGAATTCTGGGAGTTGAAGTCCACGAGTCATAAAAGAGCCAAGGTTCCCCACCCCTGTATATACCATTCCAGACAAGTGGCTGTTCAGTCTCTTCTTCTTAAGAAGAGAAGTTTAAGATGCTCAGGAAGAACATCTTGACAGTAACAGGCTACGATAGGCTTCCCCTTTCTTGGTGTTTTTTATACAGAGGCTGGAAGTTATCTCTTAGGGATGGTGTGATTCTGCTGTGTGCAAGAGGTTGGGTCTGATGAGTTCTGAAATCCTTTCCAGTTAGAAGAAATTATATATTCTCTTCTCACCAGCTCTCTCCCCACTTTCCAAATTAAGATTCATTGCATGTAGTCTACTTCCCCACCTCCTGCCAACACCTTCCAATACAGAACAAGTGTATTGTCACAACAGAACCTGCAGAACTTCACATTATTTGGTCTACAGCAGACATGGAAGAAAAAATTCCTAAATTTTTGGTGAGCAGCTCAATCAGCTTAATCAATAAGGAGCTGAGAACCAGGATAGCCAAGTTTTGTGAAATGAGAGGAAAATACAGTCAGTCTTAAAAATAAGGGATCTTTTTTAAACAGGTTCCTAAACCAGAGGTCTCCATGCTGGCTGAGGAATTCTGGGAATTAAAGCCTACAAGTCTTAAGGTTGTCAAGTTTGAATATCCTTGTCCTAAACCGAGATAGGCTCCTCTTTTGAGTTGTTGAGCCTATCTACAGTTTGCCTAAAAAGAATGGAAGGGCTCAGACAGCCTAGGGCTATTATTACCTCATCATTTGTCATCTGATTTTTTTTTTTTAGTTTAGTTTACTCTGGATCAAAGATTGACAGGCCGGTGGATTGCAGCAATGCAAGACCAATTAGTCATCCTTCACTGAGATGCATAAGGGCAGCAGATTAGAAAGAGGCCAAGCCTTAACTCTTTCCATCTGGATGGGTTTATTAGTTCTTGCTTAATATGCCCTCATAAAAATTAAACAAAAGAGAGCTGTCTCCCTGTTACTTGGCTATTAAAATGTTTTATGCTGATAGGGATGGTCATAAGAAGGGAATGTAATCAGTTAAGAACTACACATACAAGTCAGCATTGAGACAAATTGCCATAGTTAAGTGGTTTTAAATTCAATTGTAACAGTGGTACAAGAGCATTTGCTGGGTTAAGGTCATATTGTGTTCATATTGTGTTATAATAGCAATTTTATTTAGTATGAACTTACAACTAAAGTCAGTACAAGTAAATTAAAAATACACAACAACATAAGCAAACACAAGAAAGCAATATAACAATCAATGTAAATAATTTTCTGACTGTAAAATTACTATGATGATTAAAATGTACTTTAAATTCTGATGGATTTCTGGGCTCAATTCAGGGAGCTGATTCTGACTTTCAAAGTTTTAGGTGTTAAGAAATTATGATTAAAACATTGTCAGTTTCTATATGAAAAAAATCCTCTTAGAAATGCCTATAGCAGGAGAAGCATAATAGCTATGAGGAAAGGGAGAAGTGGCCCTTTAGCTACCAAATGCCATTCAAGCTGCAGGCTAAGACTTTTTCCTCTAATGCTGAATTTGCTATGCTTGTTTTCCTGAGTGAAGTGTAGTAGTATAGAATAGGTTCTCTGATTTGCAGTCCTGATCAATGTTATCTACCATATACACAGGAAGAAGAAGAAGAAGAAGAAGAAGAAGAAGAAGAAGAAGAAGAAGAAGAAGAAGAAGAAGAAGAAGAAGAAGAAGAAGAAGAAGAAGAAGAAGAAGAAGAAGAAGAAGAAATGTATGTGCCATATCACTCTTTTCCAACTAAGTTGTTAATTGTCAAAGAAATATCTAATTTAGGCTTCAGAAATGCTTATCATTTCTTACATGTTAATGGCTGATTGAAGCTTTTTCATGGCTTCAGTTTTAACTTTAGATACTCTGTTTAGTTTTTGGCGTTCCCCCCACCCTGTATAATATAAATGTATTACATGAAATGTTAGATAAATACTCTCCTTCTAAACTCATTTTCTCCATGAAAAATTGTATTAATTTTGATAAAACTCAGTTTCAAGATAGCATGACACCCGCCCCCCCCCCCTTTTCTTTTTCAAAGGAAGCTATTTATGGAAGAATATGTAGTTTCCTTAGGAAAATAACTAAATAAATAATCAGGATACCATTACATCTCCCTCCCTTTTTCAATTCCATCCTGTTCTTGCTTTTTTTTTTTTAACAGCAATCAAAATCATTTGTCCCTTTCTTGCTTTCATTTCCTTTAGAGTCTTAGGATCCTCATTCCTAGATTCCCCTAATAGGATCAACTTTGCGCATTCTCCCATTCAGCCCACCCCCAATTTTGCCATTTTTTTCTTCTTTTTGGCGTACGTCTGAGAGCACATTGCAGATTTATATCACCCCGCCTTGCCCAAAATTCACTCACCTTTTACTGAACCAAACGATAAGGATAAAATATGCTTAGGTCTCAGTGCAAAAGCCAATATATGTGTCAAGGTATGTGCACACACACATAAAACTTCCAAAATCTTTCAAAATAACCTGACTGCACCAGGTTATTTTAGTTCCTCCCAAGCTGAGATTTAAAGTATTTGTAAGGCTGGTGGGATGTGGGACGGAAAAGTTTCATACCCAGGGAATTAGCACAAATACCCAAGTTGGAGAGATCTGATTGGTTGGTTGTCTCATCCATCACTGATTTTTATCCTTATGCCTGGAAAAGGAAAAGTGATATTGGAAACAATAGTGAGACTGCAAGCAAGAGGAGGGAACGCACTCAAGATTTTTCAATTGGGTAAGTTTTTACAGCACTACTCTAAAGAGGTAGGTGGGCAATTGCATTTTGTTTCTGATACTAAAAATACGTTTTAGGTCATACATGCTTTGGTTGAAACCAACTTGGTATACACATGAACAGGAGAGGAATCATACCTTGAGCACCCTACAATCTTCTCATGGCAGAAAGTAGTAGGTTTTGCTGATTTTTTTAAAAAAGGCCGAGAGAGATTAAATAGTAGGGGATGTGAAAAATTTTGCTTGGGTTCTGCTCGTCCAGCTGATGGGTAAGTAATCTGATATAAAGTTTCCCTATGCAATTTTCACAGCAACCCGGGTTTTTTTCAAAGCAGGCTAAACTTGCCTCAAATCTCTATGTGACACGAATCACAAGGGAACTGAAAGTCATGTCAGTTGGGAAAACAGAAGTACCAAGTGGGTGGAGATAGCTAATATGTTCAGCATTTGAAAAAAATATATAAAAAGATATTGTAAATGTTTTTTTTAAAATTTGGAAAGCACGTATTAGGCTATAGAAAATGAGTGAAACACATTGAAAACTACTCTGATCATTCTGATTTTAGTGCAAGTCCATCCTTAGTTTCTTACTGTGTTTAATCACCCTTTCTGACATGTATAATGGAAGACTAAATATCTTCTGCCAGTTTGAATATCATAAAATGCTTGCAAGTCATAGGTAATCTTCACGGGTCTTTTCTGCTACAGCTACTGTTAATTCAAGATCAATTCTCTTGCACTTGCTATGAGCTGCTTGTTCATATATCTTGAATAAATCTTTTCCCAAATCATGAAAACAGCCATGCTTGAGATCAGCATATTGTCAAATCATGTATTGTATCTGTTATCTACGGGTAAATGCAACATCAACCTCTGAAAAAAGGAATACCACCCACTTTCCCCACGGATTAAAGAAAAGTGAAAATATTATGACAATTTTCTAGCAAAAATCATAACTGACTATATTGGTGGAGCTACTATACTTCTATGAATGCACCAAGCTTTTGTATTCACAGCAATGGGTATATGTAGTTATGTGGTTGAGCAAGGAGTGATCCAGCTTTGAATGTCTGGTAAATGGTTTTGATACCAAAAATCACAATATTTCATGTTACTTTTAAGAAGGGCAAAAATGTTTTCCAGACTTGTAGTTTTCATTCAGGTGGACACTGAGTCCTAAGTATATAATCCAAGTTTACATAAATTGAATTTATTTTAAACGGTTCTATGGCCTTCCCCTTTTAAGACTGACTTGGGGGAATGCCCTAGATAGAATCCTCTAATTTAGTCTATAATCTACAGATAATTCTCGATTTACGACCACAATTAAGGCCAAAATTTATGTTGCTAAGCAAGAAATTTGTTTTGCCCCATTTTACAACCTTTCTTGCTACAGTTGTTAAGTGAATCATTGCAGCTGTTAAGTTAGTAACACAGTTGTTAAGTGAATCGGGTTTATCCATTGACTTTGCTTATCAGAAGGTCACAAAAGGTGATCATATGATCCACTGCAACAGTTGCCAACAGTCTGAATTTTGATCATGTGACCATGGGGATACCGCAATGGTTGTAAGTGTGAAAAATGGTCATAAGTCATTTTTTTCAGTGATGTTGTAACTTTGAACGGTCACTAAATGAATAGTTGTAAGTCAAGGATACATCAAGAATTCTAAGAATTGAAGTCCATACATCTGAAAATTGCTAAGGTTGAGAATTACTGATTTAGTGAGAACCCAACAGTTCTGAGAACTCAATGAGGGACTTTTAGATGCTGCTACTGGCCACAGTGCATCTATTCTAAAGTTTAAATGAATAGATTTTGAACACAAATAAACCAGTGTTCTTAATTTTAATACAATCTCTGTTGTTGTATTTTGCCTCCTAGCTCTGACTCCATCTCCACTTCTCATGGCTCCCTTGCAAAATGAGAGTTGTAATGCGTCCACCAAGGAACAGTTGGAGGCAGGAATGCAACAACTTGTGTTCCTGGCTGAGTTTCTACTCCTTGTACGGCCAGACGAAGAGACCTGTGTTAAAATCTGTAATTATGTTGACACAGCCCTTAGCTATTTTTCAGAGGCTGAACAGAAGGTAGCATCTCACCTGCTGCTGGTTGATTCTCAATCTGAGGCCCTGATAACAGTCAAGAAACTCATGCAAGATAATCTGAGGGAAAAGCAGAAGAACTTGGTGGATTTGAAAGTTCAGACTGTTGCCCTTCAAGAAGCTGAGGAGAAATCAAGGGGAATGTTGCAAACTGCAGAGTTGTACCTGGAAAACACAAAGGAGAGGCTCAAATTAGCTCATGAGGAAACAGAAAAAAACCGTGCAGGACGAGAGATTGGTATGCACTTGATGATCCTTCCAGGACTCGGGACAATCATAGGTAGGTCAGTTAATCCCCCAACCAATAGATTTTGAATCTGAAAGGGATTCCTTCAAGACTATAAACTCTTTCTCTGTAGAGATTTATAGCATATCTGTTATCCCTCATGCACAACTGAGGTAATATAAAGCCTGTCTTCATTGCTGTTAGTTTAATGCAACATTATTTAGATGATAAAAAATATTGTAAATAGTTCATTACTACATCCCATCAATTAAATGTTTTTTAAAAGTATTTTATTAGTTTTCTATCATTACAATTTATTTGTGCTTCATAAACATGTTATCCGAGCTGATTTTTGCCTAGTCATAACAATTAAGTTTTTACTCTCTATCTCGCTTTTCCAACCATCGATAAAATAAGTTCCATGTTTGAAAGTATACTGTATCTTCTTTCCCTCCCATCAATTAAATGTTGATTAACTTACAGCCTGTGCCCTGGAGATCATAGTTTCTGGAATTTTCTTGAGACCTGGTTTAGTTCCCAGGCCTGAGGTTAGAGTGTTATAGAGCCCCTGATGAGTTTTCATGTATCGGGGAAGTGTTGTTTTAGTCTGGGCAGTTATGTGTTGTTTAAAAATCAAGAATGTATCTTTTTTAGAAAAATGTTGCTGAATGAGGGAAAAAGGAGTGAGTGAAGCTTTGATTCAGAAATTATTTCAGCGGACCCAAAACATTTTTTTTTCTAAAAATAAACCCCCTCTTGATTCTTCTGGCAGCATGGCCACACATACAGACTTGGACACAACATAATCTGTACAGCACACTATAAAACAGATTCTCTAACAATCAATTGATTATTAATGTGATAATTGGTGATTTATTCTAACCAGTTTTGGTACTGACACCATGCTTGCTGTCCTTTCAGACAAAACTCCTTCCAAACTTTTCTTAGTTCAGTAGCTGAAATTTGGAGGGATTTTTTTTTAATTATTGTTGCTGATGGAAAACAACTGGGAATCAAAAGCCATATCACTGATTTATCTTTGCTTCTAGGAGCTGGTGTGTTACTTGGTTATCAAATAGCCCTGGAGTCAGCTGAAAATCTAGTCGCAGAAGCTCAACAAGCAGTAGAAGAATATACAACAGAAGTGGCTGGCTTCCACGATAAGATTACACACTTCTCCCAAAAGGAACAGAAATTAAAAGACGGGATAAATGCCATGAATCAGAAGATCATCCAAACCCAAGTCCAGTGCGATGAGCTGCTTGCTTTCCAAGGGGATGTTATAATGAAGCAGTCCTGGATCAGAAAATGCCTTGTGTTCCTGGACATGCTGGCAGGCAAGGTTCATGCAGCCGCAGTCATGTCTCACCATGCTTTTATCCCTGAGCTGCTGGTGGATATCTTAGGGGACATTGCACAAGTGATGGGTGAGAAGGGTGTGGAAGCGTTCCTTGAGAATCAGAAAATCCAGGCTTCGGTTCTAGAAATAAGCAAAGCAGTGAAAACTCTGAAAAGCAGAGGAGGAAAGAGCACATTGCAAGATTATTAATGTTTCCATGGCTTCCTTCATGCTTTTAATTAACATGACTCAGTACAGGTAGACCTCAACTTATGACCGGTTACTTAGCAGCCATTCAAAGTCATGACCAACCCTCCCACCCCAAAAAAGCTACTTATGACCCAGATTCGAAGTTCTGATGGCTACCCTTCCTAGTCACATGATTGCATTTCAAGTGCTCAGCAATCAGCCCACATGTATGGCCATTTGCAACATCCTGCGGTCACATGAACACATTATAGAATGATTTTACCAGAAACTGGCATTTATTTCTGATTTTTGGCAAAACTGGCCTATAGTAAACCACTGGGCAGTTTCCATTCTAGCAATAGCACTTACACTTATATACTGCTTCATAGTTCTTTACAGCCATCTCTAAGCAGTTTACAGAGCCAGCATATTGCCTCCCAACAATCTGGCTCTTCATTTTACCTACCTTGGAAGAATGGCAGACTGAGTCAACCTTGAGCCGGTCAGGATTGAACTGCTGGCAGCGGCCAGAATTAGCCTTCAATACTGCATTCTAATTACTGTGCCACCACAGCTCTGATTGGTTATAACCCAAGGAGTACCGGTGTTCATTCTATTTACCAGTCCCTTCCTTATATGGTGCCAGTTTAGAACGAATAATTTTCTAGCAGGTGCTTCCAAGATGAGTGTTTTATTATACAAATGCCCTGCCTCTTTGTCAAGAAGGTAGATGCTACAGTCTTCAATTTGAAAAGCTCTTGTGTTTTCTGGTCACTTTTGTCTCCCCCTCCCCAAGAAGACTTCTTTTCAGGTGAGAAACGTAGAATGAATGCAGCGTGTTATGCGTATGCATAACCCAAAGAGCCATCTTTGTTCTAATTCACTTTCCCCAACCTTTTCCCTTCTGACCGAGCGTTTTTGGAAACAACACTTCTGGACTTCCAGCTGAGGAAATCCATTCTAATAAAAATATTGTCATTTGCACTTTTAATCCAAATGTGACTGAATGCCTGCATTTACTTTTTTATTTGCAATCCACTGGAAAGTGGCCTTCGTGTATTTCTTGAAGCTTGCTTGTACAACAATGTCAAAGCTGCTTGATGGAAATACTGAGGCTTTGAAAAATGCCAGATTTCAGTGACAAGCTCTCTCTTGCTTTATGAACATATATACCTCTGCTACACCTGTAACCTATTGACCCAAGTATTTTTAGATGCAACATTAACATTCCTTCAAGAGAGGAACGGTCCCACATTTGGAAAAATATCAGGTAATTTGACAGGTGGCTCAGGCTCCTTTCACTAAATCCCAACACCCATAAAAGAGTAATTTTTTTCCCATAGCAGACAAAACAGCACTTAGGGGAGAGAAAAGAGGCTCTCCATCAAAAAGCAGCCACATTTGAAAAACATTATTTTGTCCTGTCCTGAATGAATAGCAACACCAGCACTCTCAGGAAAGGTGACTGGAGTATAACATGGTTTGGAAATGAAGATAACGCAGGTTGTTTATTCAGTTTAGTACATAAACTGCTTGATCGTCCATGCAATCAAGGCTTTTCAACCAGTGGTACAGGTACCACCTGTGGTACATTGGCACCTGGCAGGTGGTACGCAACCATCCTAGAAAAGTGGTAGTGGGGGAAGGAAATGAGCTGAATCGGTGGCAGCATCGCACAAGCCTGAGCGAGAGATGATTGGAGCTGCAGGGCTGTCAGGGCTCAGTGGAAGCGCCAGGATCAGCACCAGGCTCCAGCTGGAGCTCGGTGCTGATCCTGGTGCTTCTGCTGAGCCCTGAAGAAACACCAATCAGCTGGAAAGCAGCACTGATTCTGGCGCTTCTACTGAGCCCAGAAGAAGCGCCGATCAGCTGGAATGTTGCACATCTCCAGGGTTTTGTGATTTACATTCAGATGCTTGAGAACTGATTCATATTTTGACGGTCAGTGTCCCAGGATCATGTGAAGTGACCAAAACCTGCTGCAACTATCCAGCAGACGGGGGAATAAAAACCAAACACCCACCCACCCCATCCCTGCTGCCAATCCTCAACAGAAATGCTCACAATGAAAACCTCGGACAGGAGGAAGAGCACCGCCGGGCGGGCAGGCAGGTGTCTTCCTCGGCTGTGGCTTGGGAGGCACTTTTTTCAGTGCCATTGTAACTTCGAACAGTCACTAAGCTAAGTGTTGTAAGTCTAGGACTACCTGTACATCACTTTTTCCAGGTTTTTTTGGTCATCAAGTTTTTGACACCTTGCTAGGCAACTGTGGTACTCGGATATTTCCATATCCTAAAAGTAGTACAATGGGTGAAAAGATTGAAAAGCCCTGCATGCAATTCTAGATGACATAAATGATTTAAGAAAGAATAAAATATGTTAAATTTGGCTGGCATACTTTTCTTCTAGCTGAAGGACTGGATTAAGCCCTATTTAAAGATACCTGGCTGTATTTTAAGTGAGAAAATGGGTGTTATGGATTATTTGAGTTTGTTGACCTCCCCAAATGCCAAAGATCATCTTAGTTGCAACAATTACAATGAATCTCTTATTATCAAACTTCACATTATTTTCATCAAATGATACTGAACAAAACTGTTGAATAAATGTTAAATGTCACAATGGATGAAGAACTCAGATTCTTAGCAACAAAACTGTAATATTGTATTGCTAGTCATGTGCTGTTTATTGCAATGAAGAATATTTGTAGCTCAGGGTTGAAACGAGGGCTCCCTCAGCTTGCTTGTTTTCTTGCAGACGTTTCATTACCCTAATTAGCATTGGTGATGTTACCTAGTTAGGGTAATGAAACGTCTGCAAGAAAACAAGCAAACTCAGAGAGCACCAAAGACTCCTCGTTTATTGCAATGCAAACCAATATGCCCGCTGTCAATGCTGGACCTATACTGTACATCCCAGGTGAAAGAAGGCAGACATTACAAACACAACAATACCGAAGGTCAAAGAAGTGATAAAATGCACTTCAGGAATGATATTTTCTCCTTTTTGCAAAATTCTTTCACCTGCAGCCGAGCTTCTTCCTAATGAAAGCAAGCAAACTCTAGAGTCCGCTAAGATTACAAGCAGATTACAACTAGATTTGGAATCCTCATGTTTCCTGATTAGTTTCTGGTTAGTCTAAAAAAAAAAGCAGTGTTTCTCAAGTTTGGCAACTTTAATTCACGTGGACTTCAACTCCCAAAATTCCCCCAAAGAGCCATGCTGCCTCGGGATTTCTGGGAGTTGAAGTCCAAACGAATTAAAGTCGCCAAGGATGAAAAATACTGGTTTAAGAGTAGAAGCCGCACTTCCTTTTCCCTTAATTCACCGTTTTGGATCAGAACCATCGAAGTTCTCTTATTGGACGAAATCTACAGTATTCCTTTACCCTTCAGAGTCCCGTGCTCACTTATCTTAGCGCCCTCATCGCTTATATTGCTCTTCTCCGTTTTCATTGGCTTAGCGCTCGCGGATGGGCGTAGCTAATGCTTTCTCTTTCGGGAACAGAGGCTTCTTTTCCTAACTTCCAATCCACCCGCGGCATTACGCGCATGAGCAGTTTGGATCCTCGTCTGTTGACCGAACGTTAGGAACCGTTGGTGACGGTTCGAAAGGGGCGGGGGTGGAGGCGGAGTTCTGTTCTGGGAGGTGGCAAATTGGAACGAGGAACCAGCCAATGAAAAGACGGGAGGATCTGGGGAGCAGGGGTTCCAGCACATTACAGCCAATCAGAAAACTTGCGGATGCTGGATGCGCTGAAAGTGGGAACGGTGTGTAGGGGAACTGCTTTGAAGGGCGGGCGTTTGCCTTGAATCGCCAGTTTTTATTTCTTACTTGGGTTTATTGTTTCTCTCATTAAGAACTGGGGGACAAAAATTGGAATTGAACCAAAGGAGGCTTCATGCGCAGGTAGCTATGAAATGTACAGCAACGTAGCCAGGAGAAGTACATTACAACTTAATGTGGGGTACTGGGTTGTCTTGAATCGCCGATCCTGTAGGGAATCCTTAGTAGGTATGATTTATGCTGGATTTGCCAACCAGGAAACTAGATTAGAAGTATATACCATAAATTACTCCGAAACAAAGCACTGCATGAAGTAACGTGAATGATGTTTCATCAGATTGTTTTAAAAAACAGTCATAAGAGTCAGAAGATTTAAAAATCTAATAAATGAAAGGAAAAAAAAAAAACCTCCTGGAGTTGCCTATACAGGAACTAAAACTGAGAATCAGATTGTGGCTAAAACAACTTTCAGTGGAGATTGCAGCTTCTTGTCATGTGGAGTCCCATGTTGGTTGCCTGGCCCTAGCCTAAAGCATCTGAGATTGTAAGCCAGTTTTTAAGCCAGTTGTTTTTTTCAAACTTGGCAACTTTAAGATGTGTGGACTTCAACTCCCAGAATTCCCCAGTCATAGACACTCAAAAATCTGTTCATGTTATCCCTCTTGGATAATGGAAGGATCTCCCTCAGTGCTTGTCTACAGGTAATAAATAATAGGCTCAATGAGAAATAAACTGGAATGAATCCAAGCAAACTGAAAGGTTGTTTTTGTAAGGGGGCATGATCTGGAAGATGGAAGTCTGTTCCTCTTCCCAAGAAAAAAATATGTGATCTCAAGTGTTTCAGGCTGATGCTTTTATCAACTGAAACTCATTTGGTAGCTCCAGACTTTTCTTGGAAAAAAAAAACTTTAAACAGTGCTGCATCATAAGGTTTCCTGCAAAATAGAATGCTGCAATATGTGCTATACAGTGAAGCAAATATACATATCACACATCTGCATATACTGTAGTTCAGAAATTTCATTAAGGTGGCAGAAATTTTTTTATAGGGTTATTTAGAAAAAAAGTGATTTGTCTGTTCTTCAATAGCTAGAATGATTTCCTGTAGATTTCCAGATAAAATACTGTATAAAGCATTGGCTGTCATCTTAAACCCCTACATTAGGTTAATTTTACTTAAGAGAAGACCATTTATATATAATTGCTGCTCTGCAATAACAAGAAAGTACTGTATGCTATTTCTCTATGT